GGAGGAAGATAAAGTAGAAACCCTATAAATATTAAATTAAAATATTATTTTATTTATTTAAGAATTATATTTTTTTTTATTTTTTTTATTTTATATAACTTTAGTAATCACCAAAAAAAATATACAAACCATTGAGGAGACCTAGGAAGGATTGGATATGGTACTTGAAGAATACAAAACTCATGACGAAAGATATTAATTACCTGACCAAGATAACTTATTTCATATTCATAGAGTTGAAATCTTTGTAGATAGGCTTTAGCAGGATCCCGCAAATATTATGTCCACTCTTGTATAATATTTTTCCATAGAAGAGAGCACTCCCATTCAAGTTCATTATATTCCATCTCGAATCTCTGACGTTCCTTCCTAATACTATTTAATCTCTTCTCCAAAGTTTGTAAATTCATGCGAAGTCTCTCAACTTCTGCCTCGAGAACAAGACAGTTAACAATACGATGACTCTAATTACAAATCTTCTCTTGAAGAAACATAATAATGCCAACAATGCGATTTCGATAATTTATAGCACAAACAGTTCTACTAACTCTTGGCATACTTAAGTTGGTAAAAAAGAAGATAAATAGTACTTTTGAATTAATGACCCTTTAAATAGAATTATTTATTTGTTTATTTGTTTATCTATTTATTTGTTTATTTGTTTATTTGTTACATCATATCGCGTTATTTATACTGATCATTTTATGTTGCATTATTATATTGATTAGTTTATATCATATTATTATATTGATCAGTTTACATCATATTCAGTACTTAAAATTTAAATTTTAAATTATGTGAAAGCTTTTTTTTATATGTGCAATTTTCAAATACACACTCTACATATTGAATTTTAAATACTAGTCACGTCATTTATATATTATAGATTTAATTATATTATATTTATCTGAGATATCTATTAAAATCTTTATTTGTAACTTATATAAATGCAAATGTATTTGATATCACGTTAATAAAATATACTTTTATTATGTAAAAAATATAATATATAATTGTAATAAAATGTAATAAAAAAAATATATTTTATACAAAATAGTCAAGTTCAAATTCATATGTATAATTTTTTCTGAAATGGAATTAAATTTTAGATTTTTGTAATATAATCTAAATTTTTAACCTCTGATAATATAATTAACATTTGTTCACCTTTTAATTTATTTATTATGTGAATATTTACTACTGTCTAGTATAATTCTAGTAATTTTTTCATTCTTTCTTCATTATTTTGTGATAAACGAGCATATTTTAAGTGAAAATTAAATACTAGTTTTATACTATCTTTTGTAACCAATTTTTCAATAGTATTGACATTCACATTTGATATTTCTTTCCATCTAAGATTTTTAAAAATTAATTATAAATTAATTACATATTTAACTTAATTATTAAAAAAATTTAAAAATTAATTATAAAATTTAATTTTACCTTTTAGTTTCAATAATTTCTTTTGCAGATGTTAAGGCAAATGTATTAAGCTTATTATGATCACTATTAATCATGTAACTAAATTTATTTATTATCAATCTTGTAACCAATGAATGCATGTTAATTCTGAATCAAATTCGTCTAATTATTTCTTCTTTTAATCCTTTCAAGCAGACACGAGTACGAAGAAAAAGCAATTTTGCCTGTTCTCGTAAAAGTGACAACTAAATAAAATATAAAATGTTAAATAAATATTTGAAAATATAATAAATATAATTATAAATATTGAAATATTAATATTTATTTCGCTAGGTAATATAACAGGTGATGTTGATACAGGGGCAGATAATGTTAGTTCAGAAGTATATGATATAGATGACATATTATTACCTTCAAATATCTTATTTGTCAAGTTTAATATATGTGGCCTTAAAGCCACAAAATATGTAAATTCAGATACTAAAATTTTTTCTAGTACTAATAAATTAGAACTGTATATAAATATAAAATTTAGTATAATATATAATAAATCAATAAATAAAATTAATTAATTAAAAAATATTTACATAATTTGATTATTGTTATCCTGGTCATCATTATCATATTCAATATATTCATTACATTCATATTCATTTCATTAAATTCATTGTGTTTATTAAATTTATTGTGTTTATCATGTTAGTTTTGATTATTATGATCATAATTTCCTAAAAAATTATTATGATTGACTTCAGGATTAGTTTCCATTTCTTTTGAACTAAATGAATTGTTTCTACTAGTAATAGGTGATTACAAAGTAGTGAAATTTTTGTTTTTTTTATTAGTTGAGAGAGCTAGACAGGATTTTTCAACCACATCTTCATAAATGGGACTTCTATTTTTTTTAGATAAAGGAGCTGGATGGGATTGTTCCTCATCTTTATAAATAGAACTTGAGTTCTTGTTCTTACTTAATTATGTACATACTAAAAAAGTTTTTATTAATATATTTAATAGAATAAATAATTGAATAATAAATTAATTAAATAATATTTATATATTTTACCTTTATTATTTTTATTCATATTTATCAAAGTAATAGATTTCAATTTTTTTTAAAAATTTATTTATTATTTTTTTGAAGTGGTTTTTTTTTTTAATTTTAAATAACCAGTAAGGTCTTATATATAAATATGTAAAAAGTATAAAAGGGTTTTAATGTGTCAAATCACATCAAATCACGTCTTCACCTCCTCATCCTAATTTAGTATTAATCATCATATTTAATATATTATTTGTTACAGTTTACGT